CGTTGCAAATTTGAGCAGCTTATTAAACACACAGATATTTTAGAAGTAAATAAATAGTAAAGTTCATTAAAGTTAGCATTGGCCCACGGTGCTGCAAATTTCTACAAGGGGTGAATACAGGTCCAAGTCGAGTCGCTTTAACATAATCTTGGGCCGGGATTGTGGGCTGCTAAACCCAGAAGAATGGTCCTACAAATCTCACCAGTAACAGCAGGCCAGCAGCCAGCCTTCTTTGTAACCCCATTACCTTAATGTATGGGGGCAGCATGGCGCCCCTTAATTATTAGCTTCCTGAATGCAGTCAGCACCCCAGCTGATCTTGTGTGGTTCTATCTGCATCAATCACATTAAATAATTTGAAACGGTTAGAGAAATATATGTCAATAGCTTATAGCTCATGGCGTTAAGGAAACATTGTCTAACACTAAATAGTAGGAGTATTTGAATTCGTCCGGAATTGTTTAGGTCCTTAGTTGTTATTTTACCCTTCATTTGCAGCTACCTACCTACACTTCTATATGTTTATCAAATTAAAACATTTGAATTGGTTCAAACATTAAGAACAGATGAGAGTTATACTTAAAAACATAAGTTTGAGTCACTTTATTATTATTTAAATATAAATAATTTTAATAAGTTATGCATGTCATTCTTAAAAGTAAAGTTTTATTAAATACCTATAAATAAAATAATTTATAGATATGTAAACACTTATATAATAAAAAATATATATTATATATTATATCAAATTGCTGAATGAGATTCATGGCATATATATTTATATATACAAACCCTAAACCTTAATCAGTCTGTTGCATGGAAATTTGTGAAATGGATTGTTTTTATGACATGACCAATGAATGGTTTTTTTTTATTTTTTGGATCAAGGGTAATTTTTGAAAGAGGGAGATTGAATCCAACCCATAAAACTAGATAGTGTATATCGTCATCAAGCGACCTATAAATTCAGGTGTGTGACCAATGAATGATTTATTGGGCAAAAAAATGAGGTAAGAGACCATTGATTTTCCTAACTTGCTTCCTAAGCTATCATGGAAAAGCACGTTCAAAAAAGGCGTCTGAACAACGTTGAGTCATCTGGAGGCAATCCAGGAAAAAAATATCACTAGCTTTTACACGTGTGTTTGCTACATATGTAGATTCTAGAGTGTGTGGTTCAATAAAGAGAGCCAATTTTTGCTTTGCCTATAAAATATGTAAGGTAAACGCTCTTTTTGCATCCCTAACCTTTCTAGTATGTGACACTTTGGTCTGTAGCCTTCATTTCTTGTCATGGAATCATTTCTATTGGTCCCATTAAATATAGCTGTTAAGTTAGATTGAAAAGTGAGATGGTAGAATTAGGTCTAAATCAAGGTAGTCTGTACTGTACTGTACCAGTCGGTATATATCGGTTTTTGAGGTAGACCGAAACAGAATAAGTTAGAATTTTGTTTCAGTCAAAATTCAAAAATTTTGGTCAAATTTCGATATACTAGCTAAAATTTTGTATATCAATCGATACAACGAAATTGGACCGGTACATTATACAAGAATTAAAAAAAAAAAAAGAAGATTCCCTAGCCAAAACGACGTTGTTTTGGCTAGGGGCGGCTTCGTCTTGACTTGAACCTTGCAATTTCAAATCACACATGTAGACCTCTCCTCTGTTCTCCAGCATCCAACCGATCTCTCCTCTGTTCTCCAACTCCAGTGTCCAGCCGTTACTCTCTCTCCTTAGGCTTCTTCATTAAACCCTGTAATTTTAGATTGCAGATCTCTCCTCTATTCTCCAGCATTTAGCGGTCCTTGAGGCTTGAGCTCTACTCCTCACAGGTGGTCCAACGACTCCAGCCACTGCCAACGATCCAACTCCAACCACTACTCTCTTTCACCACTCTCCAACAGCCCAACTCCTTCTCAAGTATCTTCACATATTCATTCCGAGGTTACTTTTTCTGCTGGTATGCATACATATCAAGTTTTGTAGGACAATCCCTGAAACTTAATCCAATGAAAAAGAGAAAAAAAAAAAAAGTTCCTTCATCAACCAAACAGAAATTTCGTTTGTATTTTTGTCAATAATAAGTATTGTTAGCATGACAATGTTAGCTATTCTAGATCTGGATTGGATTTCATTTGCTTTCTTCTTTTGTTACAATTGACTGCATCAATGTGCATCTACCAAAATCTTGTTTCAAATCTATGGTATTACCATGTTAGGAACTAATGCCATGCCTTTCATTTTTA